GTCGGACAGGGCAAGATATGACAAAATAATAATTTATAAATTATCAAGGGCTCATGAGGGAGGGGGCATGGGGAGGGAGGGGAAAAATGAGGACCTTATGCCAGGGGCTTAAGTGGAGAGGAAATGTTTTGAGAATGATGAGAGCAATGAATGTACAAATGTGATTTACACAATTGATGTATGTATGGATGGTGATAAGAGCTGTATGAGCCCCTAATAAACTGATTGAAAAAAAAGAAGAAGCAACAAATACACAATCTGCTCCACCACATATCTCAAACAAAAGAATACCCTCGCGTTTATGGTCTGAACATGTTCATTATCATCGCACTATAATTAGCCATCCATCAAATGGGGCATGCGTGTCCTGGCCATCTAACAGCAATTCTATTATGAATTACTACAAATGGCGATTTTTCAAAAATGATGACTGATGGTGCTAAATCACAAATTATAGATTTGGGCCAAAACTGCATGGAATAATTCAAGTGAAATCTCTTCTGTGTTCAAGTTTCAAATATTATTTTCTGGATAAATGGAGTGTAGAAAACTAGAGAAAACTCAATTTAAATAACAGGATAGCACCCCCATGCAAACGTTGATAGATAAGGAGAAACCATTTCAAAGGGCAAGAAAGTAAATGGGTGCAGATTCTAACTGAGGCTTTTCCCCGAGGAGCCGATGGGCCGCCAGCAGTCTTAACAGGGCTCACTCTCTCCACTTGTCAATGAAATGTCTGGGTCCTCCGAGCACTGGACGTTGCTTGCAAGATCTCAGCCATGGTCTGCTATTTTCAGATTCATTGTTTTACACCACATAGTGTTAATAACATTTGCTGCCATTTCATTGTAGTTCTCTCTCAAACCCACTGCAGACATGTCTCTAAATACGTTATAAATGTCAGAAGACGCTTGATGACCAGGAAGTCAGAATTCTACTCCAAGGTAAAAATATGTTTCATTGCCGTGTTCTGCAGAAACCTTGTGGCGCAGCCATATCGGACCTCCTCTGGTTTCCCCATTGCCGTC